ACACTTTCACAAATTGATATACTCTTTCGATTTGATATGACTTTTACGTTTAAAAATCTTTAGTTAAAAGAACTTTAACTAGATATTTATTTACGTCATTTTATAAATATCACTGGAAACTGGATATCACGACGTTGGATCTTAGTCGTCACGACGACTAAGATAATAAAATACCTAAGAAAATTTAAAAGATCTACAAGATAGAACCAGCAAATGAGGGAGTTTTGCAAAACTATCGAAAGCCATCTCCTAAGCATATATTTAACGATGTCAACGACATCCTCTAAAAAGAAATGGAAAGGTTTTTCCAGTGTAATCTGGTAAAAGCACGATCCAAACGTAATCGTCGCTTTGCGTATCGCGTAAAACCCTCTTCGGTAATTTTTATGTGCATGGATAAAATGTTTGTTACCGGATACATATTTCACGTGAGTTTTACGACACGCTTTTATTATATCTTCTCGTAATACTTCGACGAGAGAGAGATCTCTTATGGAAAAATTTATTGGGAAGCACTGCCTTTTCTCTTTCGAAAAAGAATAAAGATTATACAAATTTTTTACTTGCTAATAATTATCCCTTTATCTTGATAGCTACAAAGAATTATCGACTGTGATACTATGTATCATCTAGAGTACACGTACCTCGTTAAAGTTTTTTAACGTTTTCAATGACTCGTTAATATCGGTAACGTGTTCACATAAAACCATCGGCAGCTTATAACTTAACGCCCCCATTACCCCCACCGTTCCCTTTCTCCACTATCTCTCTTTCTCTCTCCTCTTTTTTCTCTATTTTTTTATCTTTCTATTTTTTTTCTCTTTTATCTTTCGATCGAATTACCCTCATAGCCAGCAGCGCGTTCGAACGAGAGCTGAATGTATTTTCCTCGAAATTGGATCGGTCGAATTTGCTCATGAGGAAGCAAATGTTTCGGTGCATGACCAGAGCAAACGGTTTGTTCGCGGCTATGCTTCGCACGATCCACGTAACGCTTTTAATTTCAACCTACTCTGCTTTTCTTGTCATTGAAACGAACCGAGGAAAGCACACTTTCCCGTGGAAAATAAAATTTTTCAAACGATTTCCAGAATCAAGAGAGAAACATACTAACTTTCAAAAACTCAACAATACTATATCATTTTCCAAAAATTAAAATAAATTAATAGAGTATCAGATTTCGATATATTTTTTTTATTATGTGGGGTTCAGACAGAGAAATATAACTGATGATGATGATATATATGATGGTTTATTTAATTATAATGATGTTGAGCGGTATTTACAAAAGGTTTACAAAAAGTTTACAAAAAGTGGCGTGGTTACAAAAATACAGAATACAAAAAAAGTTATGAATATAAGACCGACTGACTGACTGATAAACTGATAAACTGACTGATACAATAAAAGACTGAAGACTAAAGAACACTTTCTTTCTTTCTTACATTTATATCATAAAAGAGTAACACCCCTTTGGAGAGGGAAGGAGATTATGAATATTATCGACCAATAGCAGAAAGGTCCACTCCCAATAGTCAACCGATGGGTACAGCTTATGTTTTTGGTAAAGATCGTAGTGGAAATCATGTATAAAGAAACTTTGTTTTTAAACAACGGAATATCGTTTCTTCTTATGTGTCGCATGTGTTTACTTAGAAATCCGAAACCACCCGAAGGATCCGATACTGCACAACGGTTTTCGTCGCGCTTCGTTTCACTAAGATCGATAGCGTATTTAAACAGGAAATAAAATAAAGAAAGAACTAAATATTAATTTTATCGTCTATAATTAACATTTTTATACTAAATAATCCGTGTACATGGATTTTCAACGATAACGAATTGTATGTGGTATAATAAATTACATGAAAACAAATATATCTATAAACTATAATTTGATGTTACCAGAAACGGATGACATTTTCGATATTAGGTCTATAAAATGATTTATGTGAATATACAAATATTGTTTCTCATGGGTCAAATCGTATTCGAGACCTTTTCCTAAAGAAAAAAAGGAACGCCCATAGGAAAATAACAGGACTCGAATTGAAGATCGGAAGGAAAGAAGGATTCGCGAAAGAAACAGGAATGATAAAAGGCGCAGGACCAACCAGCAGGTGTCACGTAAATCGTACGTGTTACTTCGTACGACGAAGGAAACGTTCCTTCTTTCCCTTCGTACTTTTAACATGTTCCACACGTTGAAGATGGTAAGTACACGCACGTGATGTCACGGGGAAAATATAAAACCGCACGAAATTGTTGCTCCCTTGACGGAAATAGTGTTCGTCTTGCTTCAGGAATTTGGGACATTTTGTGACGTTCATTATTCAGTGGCGGTCTCACTTAAACGTGCCACGTATCTCACCTGACATATATGACCGTATAGAGAACATAAGTTTTCATAGCAAACAGTATATTTAGTACATTTTTTTTTATGAAATGCTAAAGAATTTTAGCTAGTAGAAATAAAACGAGCTCCCATGGCGTATTCTTCACATTTGGAATCGCTTGTTCTCGATTATTTATTAAATTTATTTCTTTGCATTGGATTATTAGAAAAGAAAAATTCATCTTTTAATCCTAAATCCCATTCTTTATATTGAATTCGACGGAAATTTTTTGTTATTACAAACTAAAAAAATGTATGTGTTAAAATCTGACAAGACAAATGTAACACAATACTATAAATATGTACTAAATGACACTTCTTCTTTCTCCGGTTTCAAATACGATTTTCATTCCCTTTTGCCATTACTTTTACATTTGAAAAGATTCTGAATAACACTAGACAGAATAAGTATACAAAAATATGCGTCAGAAAAACTGTCACGCGTCATTTCCCTTGCTTTATTTTTCTTTATTTTTCTTTCTTTCTTACATATGGAAGAGAAAATATTTTTAATACGTTGAAATTTTCTAGGACAGGAAGACATCATTTTTATTCTAGCTATTCTTAAATTCTATCTTGTCTTTCCTGGAACAATATAATCCACAAGTAAGAGTATTTATGGCAAAACAAAAATGGGGGATTACATTTCTCCAGAACAAACTCTTCGAATACGAGATCCCCGCTAGAGACTTTAGACGGTAAACAAAACGATGGATTATTCGGGAATTTACATCCCTACATTATGTAATACATAAATACAATGTAAAATTGGCAATAAGAAGACAGTCGAAGGATTATCTTTTATGCGCCGCTAAGTGATTCAGGATGGAAAAAAGAGAGAGAAAGAAAGAAAGAGAGAGAGAGAGAGAGAGAGAGAAAAAAAAAGAGAGAGTTATGAAAGAAAAACAAGACATTTAATGCATTTAAACTCCGTAGGATAAAATACGATTCGTATTTGGCACAAAGACTTTTCGAAATATAAGCATGATATCCTTGAAACTTCATGCATCATAATATAATTATATATATATATATATAATATATCCTACTATTTCACATTTCTTCCTTAACTTTTATTTCGTACAAAACTATCATAAAAGTAAAATAATATTAAAATATTTTTCTATCATAATAATAATTAGATACGGTATTTTCACGTTCTTCTTACAAAACGTTTCAAAGTGAATTCCTTTAAAAATGATTCTGCTATATCGAATACAATTTGAATCTCCAAGAAAGAGAGAGAGAGAGAGAGAGAGAGAGAGATGCCGGAAATCTCAATTAATTCTTAGCTATAACAATGGTCAACAGAACGAGAAGCAGGAACAAGACAATTCATGCTGCGGAAGGTATCGTTAGGTCAGTATGGCGCCTGATGTTTCGGAGCATGCTACCGGAGTATGCTATTCACTCACACGTATTCTAACGACGAACATATAAGCCCGTGGAATTTCCTATCCAACAATGCCTTCTCGATCCCATGTTTTCTATCCACAGCTGATACGTTACACCGAATCGACCGCAATGATCGATTCTCGAAACGCGAATGCTAATTATTCCGGTGGTTTCTCGCTCGAGCTTTCTAATCATTCGCAAAGCTCAATTATGCATTCTGCTTTATGGCCAGCCGAGTAACCGGTCACGTTCTCTCTATCCTGATGTATTAGTTTACGACCGAATACATTCTTCCGATCATTCCTATATTCCGAAAGAATCGTCTAATTTCTAATAACCTTAACGAACGAACTTCTTCAACTTTCTAATTTGATTTCTTAATACAATATTCATTTAGAGATTTCAATTGATTCATTATATATCGTATACATAAGATTATTTACTCTTTTAATATATTATAATATTTTAGGTCTACAAGTAAGTTTCCAGCGTTTATAAATAGATGGTGTCACGAGTAGATTCCGGGCAGAAATGTCACATCTCATGTGTTATTTTCGAAGCTTGTGTATCTGCTAACAACATTGCATCATCATATTTGCCCATTTCTATCTGCATCGTATATTTTATGAAGCAAAAACATGACAAGTTATGTGTCAAATAAACGTCATTTGCGGGAAGCGCTGCTTCTATTCTTTAATATGAAGAAAAGTGCAGCTGCGGCCTATCGTTTGCTTCTGGAAACTTACAAGGCGGAATGTATTGGTGGATCGACGTATCGTGAGTGGTTCAAACGGTTCAAAAATAGTGATTTTGACGTTGAAGACAAGGAGCGCTCCGGAAAGTCGAAAAATTTTGAAGACGAGGAATTGGAGGCTTTGCTGGATGAGGATTCGTGCCAAATTCAAAAAGAGCTTGCTGCATCATTGGGCGTCACACAACAAGCCATTTCCCTGCACCTGAAAGTTTTAGGATTCATTTAAAAAGTTGGAAATTGTGTGCCGTACGAGTTGAAGCCAAGAGATGTCGAACGGCGATTTTGCATGTCAGAAATGTTGCTGCAGCGGCTTAAAAAAGTCGTTTCTGCATCGTATTATTACTGATGACGAAAAGTGGATCTATTATGATAATCCTAAACGCAAGAAAAACATATGCAAAGCCTGGCGAGCCGGCTAAATCGACGCTGAAGCGAAATATATACATGAATAAGGTTATGCTCTGCATATGGTGGGATCAGAAGAGTGTTATATACTACGAACTGCTTCCGAGTGATCAAACCATCAAAGGACCATTGTATCGAACCCAACTAATTCGTTTGAAGCGGGCATTGGCGGAAAAACAGCCAGAATATCAGACTAGGCACGAGTCCGTAATTTTTCATCACGACAACGCTCGGCCACATGTTTCTGCTTCGGTCAAAAACTACTTGGATAATAGTGGATGGGAAATTCTGCCTCACCCGCCTTATAATCCAGATTTGGCGCCATCCGACTACCACTTGTTTCGGTCAATGCGGAACCATAAAGATATTATAGATAGAGGAAACACAAACCATAGGCAGTTGTGTAAGTGGAAATGTCTCTGCATGAATATAGCAGCAAAATACGAAAGGTTGATGTTGTCTCTCTCTAACTCATGCGGTAACATATATATCATATATATATATATAACGCAAGAAAGAACAAAAGACTCGCAAGTTAGAGAGAGACAACATCAACCTCCTATCTTCTATCTCTTTTTATTTCGCCGATAGGTTTTACGCTGGCTTGTTTGCTCTATGTGTAGTATCTCTATGTGCAGAACGCTCTTACCGGAATGCACTTCACTTCAGTAGAGGGAATCAAAAATTGGCTCAATACGTTCTTGAGCTCAAAAGACGAGAACTTTTTTTGGTCCGGAATTCACAAATTGCCAGAAAGATGGGAAAAAATTGTATCTTCCGATGGACAATATTTTGAATGAAAAATATGTAACCATTTTTTCAGAATAAACCCTCAAATTTTATGAAAACACGCTGGAAACTTACTTGTGACCCAATATATTTTATATAACATGTATTTTCTTATATACATTTTTAAAATATTTATTTGTAGATTTTCTGACATTTAATAAGAATATACAATACATACGTAGATAAATGTACTGAATCTTTGATTAATCGTTAGTCAGTGACTGATCGATCGTTCGTTCAATTATCACGAGCCCCAATTAAACATCGTATACTCTCGAGTCGTGCACCGAGAGGAACCATTTCGTCACTGGTTATACATACATACATACATATAAATATATATATATATTTATTTATATGAATGTATGTATATATATATATATATATATATATATATATA